GTGACACTGGTGCAAACACGAGCAGGATCTTAGGGGGTGTTCTGTGACACTGGTGCAAACACGAGCAGGATTTTAAGGGTGTTCTGTGACACTGATGCCAACACAAGCAGGATTTTAAGGGGTGTTCTGTGACACTGGTGAAACACGAGTAGGCTCTTAGGGGGTGTTCTGTGACACTGGTGCAAATACGAGCAGGATTTTAAGGGGTGTTTTGTGACACTGGTACAAACACAAGCAGGATTTTAAGGGGTGTTCTGTGACACCGATGCAAATATGAGCAGGATTTTAAGGGGTGTTCTGTGACACTGGTGCAAACACAAGCAGGATCTTAGGGGGTGTTCTGTGACACTGGTGCAAACACGAGCAGGCTCTTAGGGGGTGTTCTGTGACACTGGTGCAAACACAAGCAGGCTCTTAGGGGGTTTTCTGTGGCACTGGGGCAAACACAAGCAGGCTCTTAGGGGGTGTTCTGTGCCTTGCTATCACTGAAATGCCTGAGTATGTACACTGTGCATGAGTAAATCAGGCATCCCCGTGCAAAGGACACAGGGGTTCCACCTCCAAAGACAGGACCTGACTCTGATCTTGAACCAGCTCTGCGGCTCCTCAAGGCGTGGGATTGTACGGCTCCCCATTCGGCGGACCAGATCCCCAGCGAGCGTCAAGCAGGGTAGCTCTGCGCTGACTCTGGTGGAGCGATGCCGATCGACACCCACTGAGGATCTGGCCCAGAATGCAGAAGCACCTGGACTCCACTAGGGCATTCTAATTAGACCAACTGCCTAGGGTGGGGCTGGCCTGCTAGTCGGGGAATCGCTTCCCTCCCCCCTTGCTGGGAGGTGCATTACCTGTGCTGGGCAGGTGGGTTTGCAACCTGGGCAGCTGCTGGGCCGGAAGGGAAGAGGCGTGAGACCACGATGTCACTGGCTCAAATCCAGCCCCGCCCAGTCGTCATCAAAAGACGTTTGATGGTCTGTGTCAAAAGAGCGGCGGGCTTAAATGCTTAGAGGGGGTGGCCAGTCTTGTGGCTGAAGCTGGCCTGGGGCTCAGAAGAACTGTACTCTATTCCCTGCAGTGCCACCATGAGCAAGAGACACCCCGTGCCTCAGTTTCCCCTGTTGAAGAATGGGATTATAATGCTTCCCCAGCCCTGTGAAGTGCTAGGTACAAACACCCGCGTATGCAGGAAAACAGCCTTGCGATGCCCCGGGGCGCTGCCACATGCAGCATTCTGGGTTAACCCCCTCCGGGCACAGATGACTTTCTTTTGCTCCATTACCTGGACCTTCAGCGTGACTCACACTATAGCTGGGCATCCCCTTGCACAGGATTCTCCAGGCTCTTCACTCTGTGGGGAGCCGCCCAGGCTGAAGAATCGCAGCGGCCCCGGCACGCTGCGCATTAACCGCGGTCCTTGGAGAGCAGCCCCCTCCCCTACCGGGATATGCCACCCACTCCTGCTAGAGGAGAATCCGCCGTGGTTACAAGCACTAATAGACCACTGGCGGAGAGGGAGAACACGCAGCTATTATCCCCCGCGCTAATGCTATAATGCCGGGAGATTAGGAACACAATAGCCCCCGGGACCGGAGGGGATTTTGCATTGTTGCCCACTACGCACTCGGGCGAGCGCGCGGAAGAATGCGATTAGCAAATGGCAGCCCAAGAACGACTTCAGACTCAAAATGAGAAAGAGGACAGCAGCGGGCCCGCGCGCTTTGTACCCACCGGCTGGCAAAGAGACAGGACATTAAAGGGGATGGCCCGCTCGGCTAACACAAGAGTTGCGGCAGAAACCAGCCAGCGGGTTCCAAACTGACCTTTCCCGTCCCTGCCAAGGTCTAGGAGGCAGGCAGGTCCTCTGAGCACTGGCCACACGGCAGCAGGGGAAAAGGGTCGTTTCTCCCAGGCCAGGGAGCAGCAGAGGCCCTGTGGTCTGAGGGCGAGGACATTACTCTGGGAGTCAGGAAAGCTGGGTTCTAACCCCGTCTCTGCTGCATGGCTGTGAACAAATCATCTCCCCGGCTGCTTTTGGGCAGCCTTGTCTGTCTATATCATACAATCTTCAAGCTAGGGGCTGTCTCCTGCTGTGTACGTACAGCACCCTGCACAATGCAGCCTGGATCATGGTGGGAGACTCTGGGCACTACCGCACTACCCCCCACAGGCCCAGGAGATCCAATACCTTCTGCCCACACCAGGCACACATGGAGCTGGTGCAGTGGGCTGGCCAGTTGCATGCAATGCAGGAGGACTGTGATTGCCAAGGTGGGCAAGCTGGAAAAGGCATTTCAAATATCCATGGAGTTGGGGGATTGGGGAGCTTCTGGTCTCTGTGACCCCAGGCAGCACAGTTTACAGACATGGTGGGACAGCCA